ACAAACTGATGCAAAATGTCTTAGTTTCATCCCTGTTCTTTTGCTTAGGCTGCTAAAGTAGAACTAAGTTACCACCAGCTTGATCATAAGTGATCTAAGAATAAATGTCAGATTTCTGTTGAGACTCTAGAAAAAGAACAGAGAAGAGCAACCAGGATGATTAGGGGACTGGAGACTAAAACATATGAAGAACGGTTACAGGAATTGGGCATGTGCTAGTCTCGTGAAGAGAAGGACCAGGGGAGACATGATAGCAGTCTTCCAATATTTGAGGGGCTGCCACAGAGAGGAGGGGGGTCAAGCTATTTTCTAAAGTGCCTGTAGGCCAGACAAGGAATAATGGATGGAAACTGAACAAGGAGAGATTTAACCTGGAAATAAGGAGAAACTTTCTGAGAGTGAGAACAATCAACCAATAGAACAGCTTGCCCTCGGAAGTTGTGGGAACGCCATCACTTGAGACTTTCAAGAAGAGAGTGGACTCCCATCTGTCAGAAATGGTGTAGGGTCTCCCGCTTGGGCGGGGGGGTTGGACTAGATGACCTACAAGGTCCCTTTCAACTCTGATTATCTGTTATCTGTTATCTCTAACATTACACACATTTTTGGGAAATGTGGACTTGCTTCATTGTGAAGCAGAATCCACATGTGGAAATTCAACCATTTAAGCTCTCCCAAGTCATAATTTCTGTTCATGTGATTACATGGAATGGAATGCATCTAGAGGGCACGAGTTAGAAAATGTTGGTCGTATGCAATTTCGTATGAATTTATAAAATGACACACCAGCAACAATCATGCGTGCTATTTTTAGACACTTAGATTGTTTTCAAAATGTAAGACTGTACATATGATTTTTTTCCTTGAATTCAACTATTAATCTGTACCTTTTCGATTTTCTTCTTCATCACCTGTTTGCAGATGGCCTGTCTTTTTAAGTGCAGAAGGTTTGAAAGGTTTTGGAAGGTCTGGTATGTTGGCATATATATAGTCAGCTGGCTCTATAAAAAGGGATTGTTAATTAATACATAGATCACTTCTGCTTTTGTATAAAATAATTTGAATTATACTTAAGAGAAACATACCTTCGGTAGTCGCTACTCTTTCCACTTTCACAGACTAAAAAAAAAAAAAAGCAACAAAGAACGCTGTGATGTTTCCCATCATTTTAAACAATTACAATACAGTTGATTATTACTTTCTTTTAGGTTAGCCGATATAACCAATTCCATGTGGTGACTCGGGAATATATCCCATGGCACATTTTTCAGGAAATGTGCATAAAATCTCAGCTTAAAAAGTAATTGGGATTGAAAATTAATTTGTATAAAACAGGGAGGAGCAATATTTTGGTGCCCAAGGGTCATGCTTTGACACAGTGGTAGGATTCAAATTTTTTTACTACCGGTTCTGTGGACGTGGTTTGGTGGGCATGGTGTGGCTTGATGGGTGTGGCTTGGTGGGCATGGCAGGGGAAAAATACTGCAAAATCCCATTCCCTCCCCACCCTACTCACCTGCTTTCCAGCTCTGTTCTCCTGTGCAGGGCAACAAAAGAAGACCCAGCCAATCAGCTGGGACTCAAAAAGCAGAGAATAGATGGGGATGAGGCCAGTCAGAGGTGGTATTTGCCGGTTCTCCGAACTACTCAAAATTTCCACTGCCAGTTCTCCAGAACTGGTCAGAACCTGCTGAATACCACCTCTGCTTTGACAGGAACTGAGGAAGGGGGAGGAAGGCTGAAAAGTGAGTGGCACCATATTTTTGGAGAAGAAAACTTCCTGTGTCCTTGTAGCAGTGGTGGTATTCTACCGGATCAGCCTGGTTCTGCCGAGCCGGTAGCGCTAATGAGCAGCGGAGACCAAACCGGTTCTCTCCACCACTCTGCTATCGGGCCCACCTGCCCGCCTGGGCTCCCATACTCGCCTTTATCCTCTGCTTTTGAAGTGCATCTGCTTTGTGCGGCATAGCAAAGTGCGGCATGGCAGCCGCTGAAGCAACAGGGAGAGTGCAGGCTTGCAGGAGGTGAATTGGAATGCCTCTACACCTGCACAAAATGCACATTTGGTGCGCGCACACAAAGTGCGCCCACCAAGCCATGCCCACCAAACTGATGGTAAAAATCTTTGGACCCCACCACTGCCTTGCAAGCAAGTATGTGGATTGTTTTACTCCTTTTTTAAAAATTGTTCACAAACTTCGTGTTATCCTACATTATTGTGTGTGTTGTTGGGAAAAAGGAAGAAGGGAATCATCGCGAAAAAAAAACAAGTATGGAGAAAAATTGGCAATGAAGCAAAGAAGTAAAAAGCCCACTTTCTTTCTCACAGCTGTCCTGTTACAGGGAGCCTTCGACTTTACAGCAGTTTCTTTAATGACTGTCCTCAGAGTTACAATGGCACTGAAAAAAGTGACGCGACCATTTTTCACATTTATGACCACTGCAGAATCCTCGTTAACATGTGACCTTCTGACAAGCCAAGTCAATGGGGGAAGCCAGGTTGACTCAACCACTGTGTTGCTAAGTGAATGACGGCAGCGATTCACTTACTAACTGCGACAAGAAAAGTCGTAAAATGGGTCAAAACTCACTTAACCAATTAGCCACAGAAATGTTGGGCTCAATTGTGATTGTAAGTCGAGGACTATCTGTATTGTACAAATGCAGCTCGGCTCTAAAAATCAAGGTTTCTCTCTTCCCAAAATGGAGCAAGCATTTCCTTTGTACATTTCGGGTATTCAAATGATTACAAAAACCTTTCAAGTGGTAAATGTGTTTGTCGTTTCCAGCCAATAACACAAGATTTCCCCTCCATGTATCTGTAGTACTACCATAGTCTCAATAAAATGGAGCATTTTTCAAACTGTAGCAATTGCATAGTATGTCTCTGCAGAATTATTTCAGAGCAAGCTTCAAAGTTCAGACGTCTTCGTCTGAAGGATGAATAAATATGGATCATTCTTTTTCTTCCTTTTGGGGTTTGGGGAGGGCAAGGGAATGTCCTTGACATTTAGGTAATATAAATACAGTTATTAGTTAATATCAAATCATTTCATGTTGTAATAATACTTTGGCGCATAGCACAAAGTACAATTATATGCTGCTACAGGGTTAAAATAGAAATTTAGAGAAAATTTTCTATAATGTGGAACAAATTTGGCAAGGCTTGGTAATAATATAACCGGATTGATCCTGACATTTACTTTGTGTACAGTATCTGATCCTGAGCTTCACTTTTGTAAGTTTTTGGGTATTATTAATTTCTAGTGCTGTGCGTCAGATTGTAGCCTTCAATATTTCCTTGTTTTCATCCCCGTGCCTACCTTAAGGCTCATTTGTTATATCTGACAGATCAGTTGACTGTATCAGTGGCAACAGGATTTTAAAATTAGATGCTGACCTTTATAATGTCTTCTGTGGTCCTTTCAACAGATTTAAGCTTCTTCAAAATGGCTTTTTCTTTTATCGAGATTGTCAATTCTTCTTTCTCAAGATCCTCAATTTCTTGCTCCAGCCTGCATAGATGTGATATTAGATAGACCACAGATTAACAGTAATGAGTACATGACAGAGAACCATTTTTCTCAGTTTGGCACTTGTTGGAGTTCAACTCCTAGAATTTGAAGGTTTGGAAACTGTGGGAACTGCACTCCCAACTCAGATGGGGATATCAATTTGAAAAAGTCTGTTCCAGAATTAGGATTGTCCCAAGATAATTAATTGCCTGCTTCCGTGTACAATATGTGTACATATACAATATGAGAAGCCATGGTGCCACAAAGGTTAATTCTGCCAATTGTGGGCAGTTCAATCCTGACCGGCTCAAGGTTGACTCAGCCTTCTATCTTTCTGAGGTTGGTAAAATGAGGACCCATATTGTTGGGGGCAATATGCTGACTCTATAAAACTTTTTGGGCTCCTGTGCCAAAAATTGTATGTGCACTGGCATTCACGCTTGCATGCCAACATCCAGAAGGCAATGCATGCCCCCCATACCCCCTGCACATGTGCGCGCAACCCCCCCCCAGCCCCCTGTTACTTGCACTGCGCCTCACAGCTGATTTTCAGCCTGTTTGAGGCCTTTTTTCGGCCTCCCAGAGGTTTGAAAAAAGCCTCTGCAGGCTTTGCAGGCCGAATAATTTGCCTGTTTCATCACTTCCGGTATTACAGGAAGTGATGAAATGGGCCTATTCATCCTGCAAAGCCTGCAGAGGCTTTTTTCAAACCTCTGGGAGGCCGAAAAAGGCCTCAAACCAGCTGAAAATCAACTGTGAGGCATATGCATGCGCAGTGAGGTAAGTTTGCCTGAGGCTCGAGTGCTGGCACAAATGGCTCTGCGTTCCACCTGTGGCACACATGCCATAGGTTCCCCATCATGGCTATAAATTAATTAGAGAGGGCTGTAAAGCACTAAGAAGCAATATATAAGTCTAAGTGCTATTGCTATAGCACTTGAAGTGAGCTAGCACTTCAAATTTTAAAGATCATCATCATGGCATGCTTAAATGGAGCTTGGAGAAAAAAATGGTGGTAGGCTACTATCAGTATCTCTCCATCTCATCTGCCAACATTTGCTTCAGGAAGCAGCAAATACCCACAAAATGACTAGGTGGACTCTGCTCTATAGAGCAACAGTGAGGTTGAATTATTTGGTTAGATCAGGAGCAGGAAACCTTTTGGTGCCAGAACCTGCACTGAATACAGGTAGTCCTTGATTAACGACCACAATTGAGCCCAAAATTTATGTTGCGAAGTGAAACATTTGCTAAGGGAGTTTGCCCCATTTTACCAATTTTCCTGCCACAGTTGTTAAGTGAATCACCACAGTTGTTAAATTAGTAACACTGTTGTTAAGTGAATCTGGTTTTCCCATTGATTTTGCTTGCCGGAAGGTCACAAAACCTGACCTTGGGACACTGCAACCGTCATAAATATGAACCAGTTGTCAAGCATCCAAATGTAAATCACACGACTGTGGGGATGCTGCAATGGTCATAAGTGTGAAAAATATTCATAAGACACTTTTACAATAGTTACTGTTTTAATTTCAAATCAGAGGGGGTATTCAGCAGGTTCTGACCAGTTCTGGAGAACCGGTAGCGGAAATTTTGAGTAGTTCGGAGAACCGGCAAATACCACCTCTGACTGGAGATTTTACAGTATCCTTCCCCTGCCACGCCCACCAAGCCACACCCACAGAACAGGTAGTAAAAAAAATTGAATCCCACCACTGTTTCAAATGGTCACTAAATAAACTAGTAAGTCAAGGACTATGTCAAGGACTAAGGGAGCTGAAGACCACAATGGACGGAAGAAATAAAATAGCCTAGGCCAGGGGTGTCAACCTCACGGCCTGCGGGCTGGATCCGGCCTGCAGGGTGCTTAGATCTTGCCCGTGGGGCTAGCCTGGAAATAGCAAAGGAGTGGCTCACGGTGCCTCTGCTGCTGTGCCCCCCCCGGGCCCTGTTCTGGGCTTGGACAGCCTCCTGCAGTACTCTGGCAGTCAAAATGGGCCTGGGTGGGCCGTATGTGGCCCCTCACACCGCGTTTTGGCTGCCAGAGTGCTACAGGAGGCCTTCCTTGATTCAGAAGGTAATAAAAGGGAGGAAAGGTCAAACACAACGTTGATGCCTCCCTCAATGAAATAGAGTTTGACAACCCTGGCCTAGGCCATGCCATATACTTGGTCAAAACACAGATTTCCTATTTTTTTCCTTTAATTGAGGAGAAAGTTTGACAGGTGATCTTATTTTAACATTACAATTTTCATATCCTCAAACGGTAGAACAATTTTGACAGTGATTTTTGACTGAGAAAGAGTTGGGGAAACAGATGAAAATCTTGTTACCGTACTTGGATTGCCCAAACCCTGCACACTTTCCATATGGAGAAGCTGTGCCAGAGAAACCCTGCTTTGTTTATAGCTATGACACCAATAATGCTTCCTTTGTTGCTGTTATTGCTGCACGTTGAATCATTTAAACAAGATTGGTTCAGCTGCCGGCCCAAAGGAAACACAGAGAATATGATTCTGCTTTGGGTTCCCTTGTTAGCTGCAACATAAGCGGTTTACCACTTTCAGGAACTCTTGGCAGCTGAGATTCTCCTCACCTTCTGAAGCAAAAGGCAGGCGGAGGCTTGCTGATGTTTCCTTGCCACAAAGAAGCATCTTTGCAGAGCCCCTGGAGAGGGCTGGGTTGGCTTTATCCTTCTCTACAGCACTCCCCCCTCCCACCAACATGGATAAGTCAACACAAAAGCTAAGAAGAGGGCAGGGCACCTGTTAGCTTTTTAAAATACTATTTTAGTTACAGGGTAAAACAATACAGGCTTAAGCAGAAGGGCAGAAGATCAGGGCAATAATGAGAATTCTAGGGAGTGGCGAAAAATACTGGTGGCCACTAAGAAGGCAAAGGTGGTAGATTACTGCAATGCACTCTACATTGGGCTGGCCTGGAAGACCACCTAGAAACTTCAAGTAGTCCAGACGGCAGCAGCGCGCACAGTAATGAGCTCCCTAGGTTTGGCTGTGCAACACTTCTGTTGCTCAAGTGGCACGGACTCTCAGTTTCTTTATGGGTACAATTCAAGGTGTTGGTCTACTCTTAACCCTTTAAAGCAGGGCCAGGCTTTTGCTGGATCACCTTTCCTAAAGGACACCTAACTCGTCCCAAAGAGCAGATAGGGGGACACACATTCCTGGTCCCTTCCCCCAAATATTGTCATATAATGGAAGCTAGGCGCATGACTTTTCTGTGAAGGCTCCTGGCCTATGGGCATTCTACCCCCGAAGTTCAATAGCCCTCCACTCTTTTAGCTTTGGGTGAAGCTCTAAACAGTGGTGGTATTCTACCGGTTCAGCCCGGTTCTGCCGAGCCGGTAGTGGTGATGAGCAGCGGAGATCAAACCAGTTATCTCTGCTGTTCTGTTATTGGGCCCACCCGCCCAGGCTACCATATTCATCTTTATCCTCTGCTTTTGAAGTGCAGCTGCTTTGCGCGGTGCAGCTGCTTTGCGCGGCATAGCGGAGTGCCATGCGGCAGCTGCTGAAACGACTGGGAGAGTGCAGGCTTGTAGGAGATGAGTTGGAATGCCTTTGCGCCTGCGGAAATGCCTCTGCGCCTGTGCAAAGTGTGCCTTTGGTGCACGGCCACGTGCAAAGCGCACCCATCAAGTCACGCCCACCGAACTAGTGGTAAAACTTTTTGAATCCCACTACTATTCTAAAGACCTGCCCCCCCCCCCCCCCACGCCCAAGCATTGGGAGAAGATTAGATGATGGCATGTTAACATGAATTAGCCCCAGGTTTTTCTTGTTCTGATTTTGTAAGTTTTAAAACTGGTTGTATTTTATAATTTTAAAAATAGTTTTATATATTTGTTAAATTTTTGGTTGCAAGCTGCCCAGACTATGATTGAAAGATGGGCAGCTATATGCATGTATTAAATTTTAAAAAATTAGTAAAAAAAAAAAGGTGTGTGGAAGGAGCCTACGTTAGAGCTGCGATCCCAAAAATGTGAGGTGAAAAATGCAGAAATCTGCTAAACAAAATCTCAGCCCATGTTCTATTATTACCTTCTAAGGATTTGAATTACTGAGGATTTTTTCTGAAATGGACCAAGGTGATGGAAAGAAGTATTTTCCATTTTATATTCTGGACATATATATATATATATATATATATTTCTCTGCACCATTGAGACTTGTTCTCTTGGAACTGGATTGCTTTTATTTGACATGTGCCTGAACATGTTTTCAGCTGTCAATGTTTATCTGAAAATGGATTATTGGATGGAGAATGTCAGTGTAAAAATGATTCACATTGGTGACACATTCTACCAGAATTAGAATTAGTTGGTATTATCTTACTTAAAGTGTGCTCACAGAGCACGGAACACAGTAAAATCAATTCATGTGGCATGTCTTTTACTCTATTCTCAAGCCAAACATCTCATTTGCTTTGGGATGATATATACTGTACCTAGGAGTGAAGTGAATGCCAGGCAACCTTTCTGATTTAATCCTGGTGACATTTTGCTGAGAATCTGTCTCTATTCCAATATCTATTCCAATAAAAGGCATATTTTAAATATGCACCAACACAAAACCATTCCAGAAGAGAGAACAGTTTGGAAGAGATCTGCATGTGAAAGGTCAGGGTCAAACGAAAAGGAAACATGGGCATCAGAGGTTAGCAAACCAATGTTTCCAGATGTTTTGGACCAGCAAAGGGCTGTGAGAGTTGTGATCCAAAACATAAGAAGGGCAATAGGCCTCTTGTGCTAATCTAACACATAGCTATCAGTTCCCTAAGAACAATGGGTCTAGAAATAAGTGTTTTCTACCTATTAGCCTGGGAAAAGGAGAGAAGAATACATCATTTTTTATATCATTAAAGGCATTAGCCACAACTTAAAGCAGGGAACAGACTATCTGGTATATCCAAGATCTGTTTGACATTAATTCCATTGGTGTAACCCAGAGAACTTCCCATGTTGGTTTGATAGTGGACTAGTTTTTTTTTCAAAGGGATTGTAGAAAGTTAGCACCCACCCCTCTCCTAGAAGAATGAAATATTCTAGGAAATATTAAAAAGGCAGAATATTTCTCCTAAAAGAGAAACAGAAAACTTAAGGGAGACAGAAACTCAGCCCCAGCAGATATTTTAATGCTAGCTTATCTACAGGACAAAAGGCTGGGCCAGCTTATCTGCAACACAAAAGACCTTCACCCTCAGGACACAATAGGATTAGCCCTCACTCAGATTCAAACCAGGACAAAGCCATTAAGCCCCTTCATTACATCACCCAGCAAGATTCAACCAAGCCTGGGACTCAAGACAACCTACAAAGTTACCCCTGCATGGCCCCATGGGAGTCTGACAACCAATCAGAATACATTTCTTGCCACAGGAACAAGAAGCAAGTTCAAAGATCAACAGAGGGTATAAATCTCTCTCCCTCTCTCACCCATGTGTTCAATTTTGTCCAGGACCTCAAACCAGGTGGTCCTACTGTCCACCATTAAACCATCCTTCCAAGCAGCCTCCATGTTTCCAGTGTCTTTCTTCACACTTGGAACTGAACCCAGAGGGATATTTCTTCCAACAGGGTTAAAAATCTCCTTCCCTTTACTTTCAACACCAAAGGTTATAGGGTATCTTTATTCAAAAGACAATAGAGAACTTGTTATGGAAATGTGACACCAGTTATAATTCCAGGTGGCCTTTTATTTAAGTAATCTTAGCTATAATAAATACTGGATCACTTTGAGTAAAATTAGATCAAATGTCGTAGCATCACCTAGGCTGATAGTATATTTGTCCCACAAAGATTTGGCCGTTGCAATACAGGTAGGTCCTCGACTTACAACAGTTCACTTAGGGACCATTTGAAGTTACAGTGGCACTGAAAAAAGTGGCTTATAACCATGACCGTTGCAGCATCCCCATAGTCATGTGATTTACATTTGGATGCTTGACAACTGATTCACATTTACGATGGTTGCAGTGACTTTCTGGCAAGCAAGGTCAATGGGGAAACAGATTCACTTAACAGTGTTACTAATTTAACAGCTGCAGTGAGTCACTTAACAAATGTGGCAAGAGAAGTCGTACAATGGGACAAACTCACTTAACAAGAGTTTCACTTAGCAACAGAAATTTTGGGCTCAGTTGTGGTCGGACCTCGAGGACTACCTGTAGTAGTACCAAGTGAGAAGTTAGGCAACATATTCTGTTTGCAATTTTTATGTGGGGGCTCATTTTGATCTGGCCTTAGACCAGGGGTGGGATCCGACCGGTGTAACTACCGGTTCGGTGATTTTACATTTTGCATGCACATGCTGCATGCGCGTGTATATCGTTGTCATCTAGCTGCCTGGACAGCTGAGTAGCGCTGCATGTGGGTGCGCAGCGGTTGAAAAAGCATTTTTCCCCCCTGCTTTTTCAACCACAGCTGCAGGAAACAAAGGTCAGGTGCGGGCGGGTGGGCCAAAACAGCAGCAGACACAGAACCCATTCTATGTATGCTCTCTGTTTGCTCCTTTTCAGAGCAACCGGTTCTACAGAAGTAGACAGAACCGGTAGAATCCCACCCCTGCCTTAGACTTAGCAGAGCTAATTTTGTAAAGTTTTTGCTGTTTTGTTTCTATCTGATTTTTTAAATGGTAGCTATCAAATTATTAGACTTAGAATAACTTTATTATCACTTTGAATGTACATTAATCGGCATACATTAAAATGAAATTTCATTGCATACAGCTCTCAAAGAGTCACCACCTCCAATATACACTACATAATCATTAATGATGAAGCTAATACATTATTAGGAATGATTGAAGTTTTAATACTTTGTCAATAATTGACCAGTGCTTAACATTTACTGTATGTTTTTTCTGCATTGCCTAGTGTAATAACTGTAGTACTCTTTATACCAGGGATTGCCAACCTTTTGGACCTTAGGAACCACCAAGCTCATAATTTTAAATCCCGCGGACCAGACACCCTGGGAAAATCCCAAAAAAAGTCTGCAGGAAAATTCCCCACCTCGTTTTCCTACTGATCAATCATTCTTTATTTGGGATCGCAGGTTACTGTCTCCAGCTCAATTCTCAGGGGGAGAGAGAGAGAGAGGGAGAGAGAGAGAGAGGGAGAGAGAGAGACTTTTAGTTTCATGCAAGGAAAGCAGCAGAAGCAGCAGAAATCTTTCTTTCTCTCCCCCTAACTCCGCCAGAATGGTGCAGCCTCTTGGAGCAGGATGCCTTGCAGTGTCCCAAAGACTCATTTCTGGCAGAATTTGGGGGAAAGAAAGAAAGACTTTTGCTGCTTTCTTTGCATGCAGTCAAAAGCAGAAGAAGAAAGAAGCGGAAAGAAGCAGCCCAGTGGCCAGGCCAGGCACGTGGGGCAAGTTCCCCCTCTCCATCCTTTCCCCCTCCCCTCACTACCTCGTGTTGTTCGCAATGTGAGTGATGCAAGCCTTGTGTTCCTGTGGGCCATGTGGGCGGCATGGCCTTGTGTTCCTGCACAGCCTGGATTAACTGATTTGGGGGTTGCTTTGGGGGTGACATTTCTCTGCGGACCACCAAAATTTTCTTGCAGACCACCAGTGGTCCCCAGCGCACTGGTTGGCGACCACTGCTTTATACTCTGTTTCATGTTAGATATCTTGACTATAAAGTTAGTATTATTATTAAATAGTTGGCCCCATAAATATTAATCCTATTAAGAAAAGAACATTGTTCTGATCCCAAGGGCTTATAGTCCTACATTAATAAGGAAGAAAATGTATGTTGTACCTGAGAATATTTTGTTCCAGTTTCTTAATTCGATGTTGATCTTCTCGATGTTGGTTTTGCATTTCTTTCTGTTCTTCTGGAGAAAGGGTGCTTAATCCATCCCAGAGCCATTTCTCACGCAAAGCTTTTTTCTACAAATATATATTTAAAAATACTGATTAAAAATTTAATCTGCCTATCACACTTCTAGTACATATTGCCAGCATAGCTAGATGTCAGTTCTATCCTGAAGAATAAGCAAATGAATGTTATCGTTTGTTCTCATGATCAATGAAGTTGCTAAGTTTCCATGAACTAATTTGTTTCCTTCTTTCCTTACCCCTTCCTCTTTTATGGGAGGCGGGAACAGCTGGACAGGCATAATCTCATTTCATTTGTACACAGGTAGTCCTCGACTTACAACAGTTTATTTAGTGACCATTCAAAGTTACAACATCACTGGTTTCTTGTCCCAGGCAATCCTTTTTATCTTCCCAAAGTTCCTGGGATAAGCAGTCCAACACTACAAAGGCTTCCATACAAAGTTAATTTATTGGATTATATCAGGTATCCTCAAGGTATAACTCACAGTTATGTTGAGAGTCATCGAATGTCCAATCTTTGCCTTAATAGTTGCCTTAATAGTGTGAAAAGATGATTAACTTCATCCCATAGCGATATACCAAAGGAAGACTCCAGCACGATGCTGGGGTCCAGGTGATAATGCCCCAAAAACTCCCTCAGCCCACCAGAGATCAATTCAGTGACCAATCAGAATTACAGATATAACCATGTGACATGAACTACATCTCCCAAGAGGCATTAACTATATTTCCCATGAAGCATTCCCTTAAGGGGGTAGCTCTCATTCCTAAACTAACTATATACTGTCTAACCAGCACAAGGGACTTATGATCGTCTTTCACACTTATGACCGTTGCAGTGTCCCAGGGTCATGTGATCACCTTTAGGGACCTTCTGACAAGTACAATCAATGCGGAAGTCAGATTCACTTTAAAAGCCATGTTACTAACTTAACAACTGCTGTGATTCACAACTATGGCAAGAAAGGTTGTAAAGTAAGCCAAAAGTCATTTAACAAACGTCTTGCTTAGTAACAGAGATTTGGGGCTCAACTGTGGTCATAAGTCAAAGAATACCTGTAATTTCCTATCATTTTGGTGTAAGCAAACTACCATGTGAAGTTTCTGGGGGGGAAAGTATGTTTAGTTTGAGAATGGAGCAGGGCCAGAATTCCAGACATTTAAAAAAAACGAATTCTGATATAAATAGCTTGATCAACTCCACTAAGTACAAATGAAGCAACCTGCAGAGTAGGAACCTGTGGCTTTTCAGATCTTGCTATAGATTTCAGAGGACTCAGCCAGCACAGCTAATGTTGGGAGATGCTAGGAGCTGCAAGTCATCAAACTGTGGGGAAATCATAGGTTCCCTTTCCTCTTGCATCATGCTGACCTGTGCATTTATAAGGATCAAAGAGGAGACAATAGCAAAGGGAGAGAGAGAGAGACTGTTTTATGTTCCTTATCTTCCAATCATGAGCACTTCAGGAATACTGCATCTGCGTGAGCTGCAAATAATTATGCTAACAGCTGAGTGATGAGAACAGCAGGAAAATTAATCTGAAAGAAGTGGAGGATGGGAAACTATAAATCAGAAAAGGAATGGGGAAAGTGTAAGGTGTCTGAAGAAAGGCAAAACGCATATATGTCCCATTCCTTTCATCAATTATCCCCTTGAACTGGCTCAACGGGAAATGTATTGGGTTTGGGTTGGAGATAAAATGCAATCTATATATTGTTTCATTCATACATAGGTGAATTCTCATGTATACATGGAAGCAGATGAGAAACATGTAAGTGTAAACTCTGTATGTTATGTAGTACCTTCTTAAATATCATGGTATCTTGAGGTATATTACATCAAAGAGACAATACTAATACCAAGTGATAAGCTAAGACTTTCGGAATGACACGAATGGCAGAAGGCTACACTTGCCTTGTGTAGATCACATTCCACTTCACTGCTGTTGCTGTTGCTAGTAGCATGAACTCCTGCCATTAGGACCTCATGCATGGATGGGATATGTGCAGTCCCCCAAGCTAGCCAGAAGCAAAGAATTCCTGTAGTAGTTCTTCAGCAACCCATCACTCCATAAACTGAAATAAATCTTGCCTGGGGTTAGCTGTGTTTCTGGTATTCTGTATTATATTTTAAAGAACTGTTTAAAGCAAAAAAAAATATTAAAATGCCTCTTTTGAGAGTCTACCTCCTGTTGAATTCTTTTATGACCGATCAGCTATTTTAGCTTTGGTGGGAAAAATAATATTTTTGGTGAGAAAAAGTGATAGGACGAAGGGGTGCAACAAATGGAACTTTATACTTTATAGGTTCATAACTCCTATGGTGGAACTAATGGATTAAGGCTTCTCAAAGTGTATTCTGTGGAACTCTAAGGTTCATTGAGAACTTGATGGGCTTCTGTGAGAGATTAAAGCAGGGGTCCTCAAACTTGACAGCTTTAAGACTTGTGGACTTCAACTCCCAGAATTCCTCCTCCAGTCATGTTAGCTCAGGAATTCTGGGAGTTGAAGTCCACAAGTCTTAAACTTACCAAGTTTGAAGACCCTTGGATTAAAGACTAATAAACAAACAAACAAAATCCTCCAAATAAGGCCAATTTTCTATTATTTTGCCTTTTGATCAGCGGCCTGGGATTTTTTTAAAAAACTAAAGATTATATTGTAAACCTGGACAGAAATTAAGGTGTACAACATCTCCTTGAAGATTTGTGCTTAGCAAATATTTGCTATACAGCAATCCAAAGATGGCCTTTTAAATATTGATTTGGGTTTCTGTTCATTTATGATTAATATTAAATCCAATTAACTTGCAAAAGTAATGTATCTTCTTCACCAAACTTTAGGATGAATTTAATCTATTAGTTAAGTTAGCTTCTGTTATTGTCTTGGTCTTTAATTTTTATCATTTTTCAGAGTTCTAACTTCTGAATTGAGTGTTCTTTGTTGCTTTGTTTTATTGTATCTGCTTAAGGAATTCTTAAAGAAACATGGACTTAAATAGTTATAAATAAAATATATTACATAATTGATATGTTTTTATTTTGCAAATGACTTGTCCTCAGTCCTGTGAAATCTCCTTTAGTGCTTAGAAGATTTTAGTTTTAACCAAAGGCCTGAGGTTATGGAAAGCTAGTGGAGCTCACTTTTCCTGTAACAACTGATTGGTCATTCCCTGTGTCTTGCTCTCCTATCCAAACAGGAAAGGAAAGCCTCATTGGCTGGGTCCCTTCTTCACATTATCTCCTTTGATCCTTTCTTTTTTTCTCATCACATTAACATGATAGCTGTGATATCAAGCAATGGGAAACAAGGTGTTCTTGTTTGTAACATATTTTCAAATCAGTGGTATACACATGGCACCATAATATGCCAACATCTTTCTGGGTGACCTCGAATTTCAAGTCTTAAACCACCCCTTTACTTGCGATTTATTGTTGACATTTCCTATGGACCCATGGAAATGAATCATCAAATCTATCATCAGCCTCAGTCTGTAGTAAATCCATTCCTTCGGGTCATGGTACCATTCACAATGGGCATGTTAAGGCCACATTATGCAGGAAAGATCATATGAATCTTACATGCTTCTGGCTCCCATCCAGAATATACCACCCAATCTGTTAATTGTAGCCAGGCTCTAAATTAGAATAAAATAGAATAACAAAGCTGGAAGGGACCTTGCAGGTCTTCTAGTCCAACCCCGTTTAGGCAGGAAACCCTACACCATTTCAGACAAATGGTTATCCAACATCTTTTTTAAAACTTCCAGTGTTGGAGCATTCACAACTTCTGAAGGCAAATTTTTCCACTGATTAATTATTCTAACTGTTAGGAAATTTCTCCTTAGTTCTAAGTTGCTTCTCTCCTTGATTAGTTTCTGTTAGGGTTTTGGGATTAACCCCTAGAAGAGTATTGCAGCAGTAGT